CCCGGGCCCCACGCGGGCCCGGGTGCCCAGCGGCAGAGCCCCGACGCGCCCCCTCGGGCCAGAGCCTGCCGTTAGGTGATGGCACTGCTCGCCCAGACCCTGCGTCCGTGCCCGATACAGCCCTCCTGACCGCCCGTGGAGCCTAAAAAAAGAGGCTCCGGTCCCACACGGCCCATGCCCCTGAGCCCCCCTGCACGGGCGCAGGGAAGGACATGGACAAACTCCCGGAGGACGTAATTTTGAAAGGGGGTGGAGGCACAGGCAGGGGAAGCGACTTTCCCTGGGGTGACCCAGCAGGGCCAGGGCTTGCTCCAGCTCCCAGCGCCGAGCCCTGCAACAGGCCCAGCATCCCTGCAGGATCCATCCAGACGACCAGGGGGTTTGGATCCTGAAAGACACACAAGGCTCTCGCGTAACAAATCGCCAAATTCGGGAGTAGTTAAAACGCCTCTTTATTAATATACAAACCTAGCGATATTTAAGCCAACCAAAATATTAAATGAAATAAAGCACGATATAAATACAGCATACATAACAACATGGCCTCAGTGGAGAGCAGCAAACTCACCCTGACTTGTGCGCGTGGGAACAACTGTCCATGTCCTCCATCACGGGGTCTAGCGATCAGAGCAGCTTTGTCTCTCCTAAACCCCTTTGAATCCAAAACCGGCGGAGGTGAGACCACTGCTCCTCTCAACGGCAGACCACCCGGCGCAAGGTTTTACAGTTTAACGTTTCTACAACCCCAGATCTCAAAGGGATTAAAAAGCATCCCCGCGCTGCTAGAGATGATCTGTTGGCGTCCGCTTGCCGAGACCCTGCGAGGGGAGATGGAGGCGGCTGTAGTGGACGGGGAACCGGGCTACCGAAGTTGCTCCTTGCTCTGTCCCACCTCAGCTACATCCATTGCACAACATTCACAAGCATAAGGCACTAGAAAAATGCTTTCACGGGTTCAAACTTCAGTTGTTCTTAAAATTTCGGCAGTAGCACACTGCAGAAGTCCTCCCAGCCCTTGAAAATCTGGTCTCGGGAGATCGATAAAAGCATGAAGGGGCTTTGGACAAGTAAATTGGTGCACCTGATAACCAGAAGCAACGGTGGAGAAGGGACGTACTGGTGCAGTTCACAAGACGGCAGTCTCTGCTCGGGAGACCTGCACCGGGTACCTGTCCAAGAAGCGGGGAGCCCTTCTCCTACAGAGCTCGGGTCTCCTGTAAAACCGGCGACGGCGAGAGCCCTCAGGCGTGCACAGCTGGGAACAGAGCAGAAAGTGGCAGAAAGCAAGCACGTTGTCTAAGGAGCAGCAGCAAGGAGTTGATCTGGGCCAAAAAGGATTTTCCCCAACTTTTCCCGAAGGTGCAGGAAACATCACCATCAGCCAGCTGCCGGGCAGGCGGTCTGGAAACAACTGCACTCACAGCGCGGGCATGCTCCTTTCCCCCAGGCGCGGCTTGGGTCGCTTCTCTGGCAGAAGCACCTTATCGAGCAGGGACGTGCCCTGTCGCAAGCCTGACCGCGAGGCGCAGGAGAACCCGTCAACAACTTCAGGGACACTAATGTGCCTCCAGCTATACTGGAAGAAAGGCGTAAGTGAAACCTGTCCCGCTACAGGAAAAGTAGGGAAAATTATTTGTAGTGTGGAAGAAATCTCAGCGGTGCCACGGCGAAAGGCGACAGCGCAGGACTTTTCTCCGTACACAGAGAATGGATCATGCCCTAGTTGGGATGGCTGACGACTCCCACGTACCCGCTCTGCTTGTAGCGGGTGTCAAGCACCCGTGTGGGAAGACTGGCTGTTACCAGCATTGACAAATCAATAAAAATTAATGTGAACACCTTTCTCCGGTGCCTCTTTCATTATAATTTACCACTCGTCTTCATGGAGACACCTTTTTCTGAACAGGCGATATCTCTGAACAAAGCAAATCAGAGTAGCGTGCCATACCTGCAAAGCAGCGCTTTGTTTTGCGCTGCAACTCAGAAGCCAGCCTGACATCAGGAATCCAGCAGAGCTTTGAGACAAACGGGAGATGAGAAGTCTCAGAGCCATCTCAACAAACATTACGGGCAGCAGCAGATCCCCTCCGCTTCTCCTGACTCCCGCCTGCGAATGTCAGCTGGTACAGCAGGGAAGAGTTCAAGCAGAGAATTTAGTTTCCTTTAACGCAACAGGACACTCACAGAGCACTCTACATCAGCCCAGGCTTCTTTCTTTAAAGAAAGGATAAAACCCGTCACAGCATGAGTGATATACCGAAAAAATCCATTTCTGGGGGAAAAAAAAAAAAGAGGGAAGGTGTCAGCACAGACAGCCGTACGGGCACAGGGGCTCCCAGCTCATTTAGTTTAGTTCGACACAAATTCCAGCCTCAGCTGGAATTGCACACTGCAACAGCGGCTTCCACCATCCCCAGCGCTTGCTCAAAACCATCTGCCGACGTTTGTGTCTGCTCTGTGCACTCAGCACACAGCTCTCCAGGAAGAAAATCAAATGGCAGGCACAAGCAGTGCCCAAACACCTCCCCTAAAGCTTTAAGGCATTCACAAATATTTGAAGTTTTTCCTCCCTCAAATGCAAAGGCTGCTCTTGCCGAGGGCTGTAAGCACGCTACAATCATAATGCTGAAGGAAATTTTAAAGTGCCAAGAAAATTTTCAGATGCTTTTTGGAGACAGCTTGAAGTCACCTGATGACGTTAACCCCTCCTTCCCCAAGTCCTGTTCCCTGACTGAATGGGGTTTTTTCAATAAAAATCCAAACAATCAGTTAAGGAAAAGGCAGTTTAGAACAGAAAAGCATCCCGAAACGGGCGGAAATTAACCTGACCAAGTATTACAATAAAATCATTTGGGAAGACAAATCTGAAGGTTGTGAACGTTTTGCTGGACGTTATCAGCAGCTAAGTGTTCTGTTTGAAATAAGAATGACTTCTGCCCTTGCAAACAACTTCCCCCCCCCCCCCCCGACATGGAAACGACCTTGTTTTTACAGATTTCTTCCCCCAAATGTAACCACTTTGGTTAAAGCGTGCTGGAAGGACGAGGTTAGCCCCAGCAGGCTGATGTCAGTGCTGTACCTTTACAGTTAGACACCACTTGCAAGAATGTGCCAGAGAGAGACAAGTGTTTCGAGCAATCTGGTGTGCGCACTCCCCACCCCTTCCGTGCGGCACGGTTTCCTTCATCGGAACAAGAAATGGTAGAGGGAAACGTATGTCGGAAAATGAGTGCCACCGCTCCTCTCGCTTCCTCGATAACGCGGTCCCGATTCTGTCCAGAGCCATCGCGATCACTCGGCGCGTGTCCAGCACTAAGGCTGCAGAGGAAGATGCTCCCTGAGCTGGGAATCAGGGCTGATCATCTCTCCAAGGCTGGGCTTAAGTGGTTGAGTAATTGGCAAAGGATCAAACCGCTATCACGCCTCTCCTTCCGCCTCAGCTCGGCTGCTCTGCCATCCCCTTGCCTGTTTTTATTTCGCCGTGCCTCGCTTTCTGATGGGCAAAAGGAACTCACGTGCTCAGCTGCCTGGGGAAGGAGATTGGGAAGTGTTAAGTGGAGCGGGAAAGCCCCGGCGCGGGGAGAGGGAGGGTTAAATGATGGAATATACGGCAGCCGCAAACCCGCCTGAGGCTTCAGATGTTGGTATCTGCACCAGCTAAAAGTCAAAGAGCTTAAATCAATGCAGAGAGACAGATCTAGAGCCAACCTGGCCCAGACGATGAAGCACTTGGTGGAACCAAGAAAGGAACCTTGCGCACGAGAGGTCCTACAGCAGCACAGGCTGGAGGTGTTGCAGGAAAAGCAACAAGATTGGCGGCAGCTTGAACGCAACAGCAGAAAGGAGGAATCCAGGCTTACACCAAGACTTGGAGATGCAGTGCAAGCTTCACGTAGCCTCCCCTCCTTGCCACAAAATAATAAGAAGAAATTGTCCAACGAGGCACATCAAATCTGGACACTGGAGTCAGCACAGAGAAAACAAGAAGAAACTAAGACTGGCAAACACAGATGTGAAAATCACTGTAACACACCCTCCTGAAACAGAAAACATCATTCCTGAATAGACCGCTTTAATTTTATCCTCAGATCATTAAATATGAACAATAAAGTCCCTCTTCTCTAATACCATTTTTACTCAAGCCCTTCAGTACTCACTCAAGGACTGACAAAACGTAAGTCCTTAGGAAAGGACGCAACAAGGATAAGACAACATCGATACCTCCGGAGAAATCATTTAACGGAAGAGGCTGCCACACAGGTTCCCCACACTACAGACGACCCTTGGGCAAGCAAGCCCTTCCCAGCGTCCAGGAACGCTGTACGTTTAGAGGGATTCACCACTGCCACGCCAGCAAACCCACTCAGGTGTTGACTTCTGGGGTAAGAACAAACAAGCCCACGCGTGCCAAGTGCACGCCACCCACACTGGCGCATCTCCCCACGGGCATCGCTGTCTTTAACATTTGTCACTGACGGGTAATAAGTTTATTCTAAAATGGGTTATGCTCAACCTATAATATTTTAGCCAAAAAGGCAAATTATTTTCTCATACTAAACTGCAGTTAGCTTCCCTTCAAGTGCTTCTCTTGCAAAGTTGCCTGCATGAACAAAATCTACAGGACCGTTCCCATTCTGGACAGCAAGACTCGGAGAACTGGCAACACCCTCGCAACTGCTACGCACGAGGTGCACAGGGCAGACCTGCTGCTCCTGCTTCAGCACAGAACGAGGCCGTTACCCCTTTCTCTGCAGAGGAGGGGGATGCTATTTTAGTATTTCCCATCCAAGGTTCATAGTCTTACCGTGCGGAATGAGAACAAACCGCCTTTCTCAGCAGAAAGCATTTTAAGGCAGTTTTAAGGATGAGAATCATGAGGTATAATTTTATAGTTCACATTATTTACCATCTTAGATGCTAAGACTGTGTCATAGCAGCTTCCAAGATCCAATTTCTAATTTTCTAATTTGGAATTGTACTAAAGGTGGTAACTCTTGAACTGATTTTGTTGTTCTTTTTTTAGGCACTCTACTTTTAGTCACCAGATAAAGGGATTAGAGTCTTACATCAACGTTTAATACCTCTGGAAGAAAACGTGACACTGGAAGGACCTTCCTCGGTCTCGGTATCTAGCACTATTTTAAAACATGCTATACAATTGTCTCCTTGATGGGTATTCAAGTTGGTGAAGGCAAACTATTCTTTTAACATTATAAGGTTAAAAATAGCTGCCAGAAATTAAATCGACTAAGCTTAAACAGCAGCTGAAGACTACAGGTTGGGATATGAAACGAGAATCAGAATTCATAGCAGGGAAAGCCAGAGGAGGCATTAATGAGCTGCAAGACTGATAATTATCAAACCACCTATTTCTACATCTCAAACAGCAAACACAACATTACAGAAAGTGTGGCTATATCTGTTGGCATGATAGAAAATTATTTTCGCTCTCCATTTTTGGTACTGAAAAGTCAATAGACCTAGACATAAAATAAACCTAAGCAGACATAATGACAAAAGTAGCTCATAAAACACAGTTTTATTGTCAGAACTGCTGTGGGAAGAGACACCCGTATCAAAAGTTGTCCGAGGAACTAACAGGCACCGATAAATTAGGGAAAAGAAAAAAGAATCACAAGGAGGAATATAATCTGGCTGCAACTTAAATGATACTTCAGGAAGGAGCGGTTGGTAGAGGACAGCATGCTGCTAACTTCCCAGTTTGGTCTTAACTCGTTCTAACGCTGCAGAGAACAAACTGAATGCTTCGAGCTAAAATCGTTCTTCAGGAGCTGCATTAAATACTTCAGCTTTCCTCAGTTGTATACTTTGTTCTCTCCTGAAGAAGCATCATGCCTCACCAGTGATGACAAACGGTCAATAAACTCTAATCGGAAGGGCTGCTCTAAGACACATCCTAAGTACCGCATAGAAAACTCTTTCTTTGGTTGAACGCCTGGATAAGAAAGGCACAGCAGCGTCCCCTAAAACCAACGGAGGGACCAAGGTCCTCCTCGGTACGCACATCCAGCACGGGAATAGTGGGATCACAGTATCCCTCTATGCAGGAAAGACATGCAAGAAGTGACTGGATTTTAAACTGCTATTAGATGCCTTATGAACCTTTCATTTAAGCAATTAATTTTAACTCACCAGGCAAAATTTCAATCCAGAGAGCAACCATAGGGAAATTTGGAAGAAATGACAGCCAAGTGGAACCTCCGCCTACAGCAGCCACGCAGAGTACTCTCGGCTGCAAGATCTCAAAAAGCTGTCCTACTGTGGTCACTACATTTCAGAGGCCGGGGAAGTTTTGCATGCCAATTCAAAAATAAGTTTGAAATCCTTAAAGAGCTCACCCACTACAAAGGAATTCACCATTCACAAAGGAGAGCACGCTCAAAGAAGTGACATCTACGTTCAACCTACTACACCCGCATGCTCAAATCCTTAATTCTCTTACACCCTTTCCCGACTCTCCACTCCTAGGTTTCACAGCTTCCGTATCACCCTGGACGGGGCAGCTTGCTCCGACGACCTGTTTTAAGGTGTAAAGGTTTTGGACTTTCACCTTTGCTGCCTTAGGGACATCCGACCCCTTTTGCATGCCGAGAACATCTGGATCATGAACTGGCAGACCACAGACTCAACTGAAGGCATGACCTGAAGCAACTAACACAGCAGAAAGCAAACTTAAAACAAGAACCGGGGAAGTTTTTGAGCTCATATTTACACCACTGATGCTCGCCATTTAACTGGAAAAGAAAGTGCCCAAAAAAGGTTCTAGATCAGAGAGGAAGTGTTCGCCATGGCTGACAGGGCAGACATCAGTGCCAGGTTGTGTTTCAACTTCAGACAGAAAGCTGCTGGAGCAGAAAGACCACGACGAGTATGCGAGTGGCAGAGGCAGGGAAAACGTTTAACAGATCTTTTTCATGTAAATAAAGAGAATCTTTGCTTTTGATTGTGCTCACAATGGGAAGAGGAAAAAGAAGAAGATGTAAATGCGCGCAGTACAGTTCAGCATCCCCCCACTTCTCTACCATTTACCATCAGTGTTTGAATCGGCGCATTTTGACACTTGAAGAAGGGGTGAATCCCAGCTGCGCTACCTGAAGCATCTGTATGAGGAGCGTGACGGCAAAGAGCTTTGCTGAAGGAAAGCGATTCGTAATCCCACTGCCACACTCCCTGCACTCCTTCTATTCGATCCCTTCAGCTGAGGTACTACCAAGGCAGAGAAGTAAGAAGTGCAACAGATTTGAGGAGAAAAACAGAAGACAACTTCTCGAGTCTGACAGGAGCTGCTGAGATGCTTTCTCACCACCAGAAGAAAACCCAGTGGTGTTTCTTGCAATACTGCCAGCATCACAGGTGAGACAAATGCTGGGTCTCTTCCTCTACTTTCAAAATAACCACGGGCAGCTAAAAAAAAAAGATGATGAGCCCTCCTCTCCTGCTGCTCAAGTTCCCTAAACCAACACAAGTTTTACGTGAAACTTGTGTTCACTGCATGAGCCTCGCCAGACGAGCTCGACTGAGTCACATAAACAAAGGAAAGTGAAAGAAAATCCCCAGAGAGATTGTATACCGTGTAGCTGAAACAGAAGCAGCATTTCAACGCTGCTATTAACATTAAACACTAACATCTGTCCTTGTTAGAAATCAGTATTTTTGCTAAAAAAAACCAAAACCAAATGCCATTCCTTTACAGAAGTGAAACACACATGTTGATCTTCAATTATATTTATAGCAGGCCATTTAGTTTCAGTGACCCCACGCAAAAAATCCAATCCCAAGAACAACAACAAACTTACCAGCGCTTAACTGCCATCTCAATGATCTGATGATTAAACCTACTTGACTCCCTGTTAGGGAAAAAAAATGGTGGACAAAGGGGGGCAGTGACAGGCTGGACTATACCAAAACCTGTCTCTTGGCCGCTGCTCACACAACGCTATGTCTCGTGCCAGTGAGGTAGCTGATCGTTCTATTGCTGTGTGCGTCGACGCACCGACCCCTCTACAACGTGATATGCGGAGAGCAGGGTGAAGTCACAGCGTTCGTCTGAACTACAGGCAGCAAATACCTGCTGTCCCGTGCCTTACGCTGGAGAGGAGAGAGGAAGGGTGTAGTCCTCAGGGGTTCACCCGAACCCTTCCCATCGCCGTAAGGCTACGGCCTCTGGCGGGGTTCACTCCTACACAGGCTTCCCATGGACTTCCTGACGTATGCTCAGCACTGTGCTTCATCCACTGGGGCACGGGGGAGCCTGGCAAGCAAAGGGTTGAAGGAGGGAGACAGACAGGGTTGAGAAAGGTTGAAAATTAAAGTTTTAAAATATACAAAATGTAACACACTGGAAAAAGTTTAAAAGTTGCAAGACAAGAAAGGAAAAGAAAGAAATATATGGGGCGAGGAGAAAGGACTGGAAGGTGGTGGGAGAAGACTCCAACTTGGGAAAAGGAGCGGGTCAGGTCTAGTCAGCACTACTCCCTCTGGTAGCCACTCAGTTCCACCTCATCCTTGCGGCGACGGTGCGTGAAGAGGGAGCTGAAGGGGTAGAGCTTGGCTTTGGCCTGGAAGCGCTGCCCAGCAATGTCGATCTCATACTCGCCCTGGTTGATGAAGTCAGTTGTCACCACCAGCTCTTCTCCTGTCTTCTCGTCGAAGTGCTGCACGAAGCCGAGGCAGACGTGGCGCTCCAGAGTGTAGCTGTAGGCACTGCTGGTGGTCTTGCCCACGTACCGGCCGTTGCGGAAAATGGGCTCCCCCCACCAGGGCCAGAGGTCCATATCCGTGTCATGGTCCTCAAGAATGAACATGGTAAAGCGCTTGTACACACCGTTCTGCTTCTGTTCCAACAGTGCTTCCTGGCCAACAAACTGCATTCCCTGTGGAGAAAAGGAAGCATCAGCCGATGAAAGGAACAGGAACTCAGCAGCTGCTGAGTTTCAGCAGACAAGCTTACTGACACAAGGTGAATTTGCGCGTGGAACTCATGCCCTGTCAAGACAGGCTGCTTCTACAGGCAAGAAGCCCAGCTCAGACAGAAGCTTTCCTGTCATGTTTGTTGTTCCAGATGTTAAAAGACACAAAAATATTTGCGAAGTGGGCCTTTAAAAAATTCATTCTAATTTTCACTGTAGTGAAAACATGTCACCATTCTAGTTTTTGCCATCTTTCTGGTTCCAGAGGTCTACCATGTTTTATAAACCAGGGGGAAACTGTAACAACATACGAAATTTGTGTCCCTAATCACTACACTCCCTTCTCTGAATTATTTGATACAAGCATTTGTTGTGGCTTGTGCAAAGATGCGAGAAAGAAGGCAACAACCAATGACAGAGATGGCACCTGCCACCACAACAAGCAGGATACAACTCTAGGCTGTTCTATGTTTTCATAAAAATAGAGAACTCCCCTGTTTTAGTAAAAATAGAGAACACCTGTTCTTGGCGCCTATCCTCATATTTAACTTCATTAAACGCCACTTGGTGCACAGGCTGGCTTTTGCTTCATCAGACTGGGAAAACAGCTGGGAGAAACATGAACTCTGAGCATCTGAAAGGTATGCAGCACCCGCACTATACTGAGCATTGCACGCGTGAGCAACACAGGGCGCTACACAGATCACTGGGAACGCTGCCCAGAAAGGAGGAAGGCAGAATATTTTTGATATTTCTAGCACCTTTATGAAGTACAAGAATAGTTCATAGTTACGCACTGCACACAGCTCCATCAAAAAAACGGTCTATCTACCCACTTGGATGGCAGTCTTTTCGGTTCAGTACCGCTCTCTCCCACCCATCCCTGCCGCAATAGCAGACCCCACTGCAGGAGGTGATTTCAGTTTTCCACTGTACCTTTTCCAGCTTGACCTGGAACTCGCGTCCACACTCCATAGGAGTGGTAAAGGCATCCAGATCCTGGCCCCAGAATGCAAAGAACTTCTCAATGCGCAGGCTGCGGAGCGCGTAATAACCGGCGTTCCGAATCCCGTACTTCTGGCCCATGTTCATCACCTCATTGTACACATGAAGGGCGTACTGCAAAGGAAGGGTGAAACACAGAGCTGCAGACGAACACCAGGAGAGAGCAACAGCATCTGACACACCACTGTGGATGTTACTGTGCCCGGCCTCCGAAGCACAAGAGGTCTGCCCGACTGGAATGCTATACAAAGCAGGGAAACTCCCCCTGGTGCCTGCAGACAGCTTTCCCATGGCACAGACCAGAAGACATTTCATTACCCTGAGTCAACTTGGAAAGTGTTTCTGATTATGCATGCAAGCAACTCTTCTAATTAGCTAAGGCTACAGTGTACTCTTACCTCTATGGGGATATAAAGCATGAATCCAGGTTCTCCTGTGTGAGTGATACTCATCACACGGATGCCATTAGCATAGCCCACGCTCATCTCCTGCAGAATCAGAGGGGGTGAAATCATCCAAACTGGAACACAGCACAGAGATCCAGAAGGAGCACAATGCATAATGCAAACCACACTGGCCCGCTCTCTCCCCCTCCTCGCTGCAGTTCACCACCAGCACACACTTGCGAAGAATTTAAATTTAAAAATTCAAATAGTGATACCACATTATCCAGACTTCTTAATCACTTCATGACACTTGGCAATAAGCCCTGGTACTAGGTCAGGAAAGGCTTGTATTCTAGATACAAGACAGAAGTTGAATGGCAGCTATCTGCTCAGCCTTTTAATGTGACAGGAGACAATGACTCCCGAGTCACCGATCCCAGCTGCCCCTCTGACTGACAGCTTCATAATTGATTATATGAAATATGCCAAGATACCAAATGGCACCAAGCCTACAGTGAGTGGAATATTGAAAACAAATGCGTATTCACCTATATATCTAGCAAGCAGAACCCAAAGAGAAATATTTAAAGTGAGCCTAGTGAGTACATTACCAACATAGCTCAGTAACTGCAGTAAATCTAGATGTAAATCTAAATTCCCCTCTAACTACCCAAAACATAATTCTTCCCTCCCTTCCACACATGCTTCAAAAAACCTGGCAGAGTGAGGAGGAAGGAAGCAGAGTCACTCACCTTGCAAAAGAGAGAGGGAAAGTGTTCTGGAGTTATCGGGGCATATGACAACTCTGACAAGACATCCACAGCGCGAGGGCCGATGAGATTGAGAGCTACGGAGGGGAAGATACCAGTATTAGGATGAGACTGGAGAGGTCTTGCCCAGCGTCTAACTTGCATATACGCATGCCGCAATTTCTAAAGTCTTAGTGTTTATTGAACTAACAGGTACATTTACATTTAAGAATGGAGGAAAGAGTCATTCAACTCTCTCTCCTGACAGTCCACAGGAAAGGAAAGCCGTCTCCCAGCTCGTGGCTTGCTAGAAGGAAGTTTCTGAATTGCTGTTTTCATCCAACCGTTTGGAAAGGAGACCCAGCCACCACTCTACACACCTTAGACAATTAAGTGGCATGCAGCACAAGACACCATTTGTGATTTCAGGCTGTATAAGGAGGTCTGCTTTCAGTGAGTTCTTACCCGTGTACTTCCAGGTCACGTCTTCCATGGTCAGGGTGCTGTCATTGGGCAAGCGGTTCTTCAGCCAGGCCCAGCAATGGACTTGTTGGTCAGTAGGGGAAATCATGAAGAAGCTGGAACAAGACAAATTGAAACCAAGAAACAATGAATGGACAGCCACAAGATGATTCAGTTCATTCTTTGTCCACGAACTACTGGAGCCATTCAGCAGCTTCCGAGCTAACAGGAGACCAAAACAAGCCGGTTTGCAAAAACCGCAGCTAAAGTCCCTGGATCACTGCCATCACATCTGTCATGACAAGAAGCCCCAGCCTTCCAGCGTTAGCAGTGGTCTGGTGACAAGAAGTGACTAGAAGGGGAACACAGGCAGTTCTACAGAAAGTTCACAGGGTATCTCAAAAATCACAATCATTTTGCAGAAGGTATTCGCAGCTCTTCACCACCAGTGATTCTGTCTACTCTGACAGTCAGAAGAGTGCTTGGTTCACACAGTAATTTCTTGTTTCAGCAGAAGTCTTTTCACACACAATGGTGGTTATTATTAACAGTTTCCAAAAACAGAACTCCACTTGATATGTGAAAACGAGCTACTTGTTGTGTAAGTCTCTTTCATACAAACTGCGAGTTAAAGTACATTATTGACAGAGATAACATCTGCAGGAATGACCAGGCAAGGAGGCAAACTACTGGTTTCACACAGAGAAGGACAATACTTTTAAGCAATACATGAATGCAGATAGAAGAGGAAGAGAAAGAAAAGCTGTTTCTAATTGAAAGAGCAGCAAGGACGAATGCTTTCACACCAAAACAATGAAAACATGCATAGAAAACGGTCCAGAGAAAGAAAACCAACACTCAGCTGGGACATGCCCATGAAAAAGTTTTTAAAAATGAGAAGCGTTTTTTTTATTAAATGCCAAAGAGAGCCCAAACTGTCGAGTCTAAGGATGAGATCCTGTGATCATGTCAGTTTGCACCAGAGAGCACAAAAATGAACCACGAGAGACTGCAGAGCTGGGAATGAGAGTAACCATACTACAATGCAAGTTGAAATAATCAAAAAGGAGTATTTTCACCACGGAATTCCAATGAGGAGATTGGCCAGGAGCCAACGAGGAACCGTTTGGTTTGCACTTCAAATGATTACCTAAATTAATAAACTCTAATGACTGCTGAAAACAATTTGTCTTTCCGTTGAGAAACTAAACGTCTGAAGGCCTAACATTTTGCAGAAATCTATGTTCATCTGTAGTCCCAGAAAGAGGAGTATTTTCCCCAATACGCGTAAACTGAGGAGCTCCCTCTCATTTGGGTTACTGAATTAGGAATGTAAGTGGAGAATTACAACTTTTCTTTTTTCTTTTCAGTGGTGAAAAAAGTTTATGATCTCCATTATGAGGTTCTTAAAGGCTCTAACACCCGAAGGGTGGCGGATAAAGATGCTGCCTGCATACCTACCTGCGTTTGCTCAATCGTGCTATGCTGCAGTCATTCTCATAACCTCCTTTCTCATTAAGCATGCCTGTATGCACAACATGCCCAACTGGCACATCCAGGTCATTTGAGAAGAGATACTGCAGATTCTCCAGGGCCTGGTCTCCTGTGGACTACAGGAATTGAAAGAGGGAGGAAGTCAGGTAAGCCGTCTGAGCCATACAAATCCAGTGGGGCAGTTTAAGATCGCATCAGCGTCCTGGCCCAAATTCTTTCGATTCGTAATGATAGTGACACTAATGTCTCGAGCGCAATAGGGTACAAGGGTGACATACTGCCGGAGGTCAAATTCTATTTATAGACCAAGCTGGTATTTCTGTAAACTGGGCCTTCGACAGACAAAAAGCAATCTATGCTAAATATTGTGGTACAACACAACCTGAATTTGGTCACGCAGCTTGACTTCCTCTATCTATCCTCGATAGGACACACAGAACTCTGCAAAAGCAGTCGATAATGAACTAAAGGCCACCTTTACCAGGCTGATGCTTTGTCGCTTCCCAGGTACTTACGCTTATTTCGAACTTGGTAAAAGACGACATGTCAATGACACAAACCGCTTCCTTACAGCACTTGACTTCGGAACCCACAATATCAAACCAGTCTGGTTTGTAAAAGGTTTTGCTCTGATCCAAATCCAACAGATCTAATGTAAAGAAGAATCAAAGGGACAATTCATAAACTGGATGAACTAAGACCTTACGCAGACCAACAGGGATGCACTAGGCAGAGGAAAATATGATCTCACCTTTCCCAGGTGGGACAAAATACTTGACTCGCTCAAATCCGTGCTTCTCCATCCACCTAGCTCCCTGTGCATCCAGACGGTCGTACAATGGTGAAGTACGCAGCTGCCTGCCAGTCTGGAAGTCCCAACGGGGAACTTTCAGATCACACATGAGGGCTGTAACGGTCACAAAGACCCGTTATTAGGCAAAGTGATTATCTTTATCTAAAATTTTCTTCCAGATTATCAATAAACATACTTACTAATATCTGAACCATTAATGAAATTCCCTCAGAACAGTTCTGACCTTCCTCTTCTGTTTTTGAAAACTGACAAACCTCTTTTGATCCGTTTATAGCTATTCAAAATCAGAGTAACAATTGGCACAGAACGCTTATATTTATAGATACTTATGGTCTCATGACAATACTGCCAAGATAACAAAAACTCTCTATTTTTCATTAAGTCATGTTGACTGGCATTAATTATACATGATTCTTCCCTGACAGCGCACTGTATCAGACGCTTATCATTTTGACAATACGAATGCTGGGGTAGGCAGCCCACAGCTACAAGGATCATCTAATTTATCTTCTTAAATATTGGCAGTTCAGCCTTTTCTAATTATTGAAGCTTTTCCAAATGGCTCCTATACCTTTTCACCCAATACAGAATATTCTTATTTAGAAAACAAGTTACCCTAATAAATGTTTAGCATCCTCCCTGGTTACCAGTGAGGATTAATAACTCAAGGATGCTTGAATACTTCTTTATAAATGTTAAGTTTCTGCATAGGTCATAAACTGCTTAAAATTGAAGATGAGCCAAATATTTCTTACTGAATACTTCTATTGGCTTTGCCTCACAGCTAACGATTTAATGATTTTATTGGCATTATCCGGTATTGGTACTCCCGAAAGAGCGGGTAGAGGGGAAAAATAGATTAGAATGGGAATGTAAGATGGCAGAAATTGAATATAGCACTTATCTTGTAAAAACTAGAGTGATTCTGTAGCTATCAGAATCGAGATTTGTATTGGAAAGCAACTGCAGAACAATGCCAAGAGTATAAAGTGATTTTTCTGGGAGGAAGGTCAAAGCATAAGGTTTTTATTTCCTGGATATAGCAGGGCTAAGAGGTTTACCCAACTTCTCTGCTTTCACCCAAACACATGTTTTTAGTTTAGACTTGGTATTCAAATAATCGTTCATGTTTTGCAGCTTGTGGAGCACTTCGTACTTCTATTTGAAACTTGAAAAGAAGTTGTCCACATTATCTCAGGACAGATAATCAAACAATAGGAGGAAACCAAGTATGGCTTTAGACAGGAGCAATGACATCTCAAATCTATTCTGCAAGGTATTTATCGCAAACTTTGACAGAATCTGTCTACGCAGACTTCCTGAATGATGCAAGATAACTGGATCACATACTTGTAAGTTGGAAGTGACAGTATTTCCACACTGTAATGATGTGCAAAGAACAACAGTGTTTGAGAGAGCGCAATATTCCCAGTTAAGACCTTGGTATTGTTCTATTAGGCTGGAGTCCTACAAAGATACGCCCAAGTTTCCCCATACCAGAGGCAAAGCACAGAAACAGGAGAGAGCACGGTACCAACAGCATTTCTTTAAGAAAAGTTAGTAAGAACACCGCTAATACAAAATACCCCATCCTTTCCTTTCTCCTGGGAAGAGACCGTATTGCCACAAAGGAGGCCAGGAAGAAGGAAAATGGTTCTCAGAGTGATGACAGAGGAGACACAGTGCAGCAAAGAGGAAAATCTTGGACACCTTGGCCAGCACTGAATGCAGAGGCCTCACTTACGCATTACTTCCATCACACGGTGACGGAGGAAAGTGCGACTGCTCTGAAGGGTACCAAAACGTTTCAAATCCAGAGGCCAGACGTTTTCTGACGGATACCCATTTACCATCCACTCTGCCAGGTACCTGATGGAAGAAGTAAAGAAAGACTGAGATATCAGCCAATGTCTTACAGGAAGGAGTCTAGCTTTGAAGTCAGAAGCAAGGCAACTTGGACATGAGAATTTCTTGCAGTAAGGAGAGAGAAGACAACTAACATGGTATTCTAAATACTAGGAGAATCTGCGAAGTTTCCCTTTATAAAACCCATCCGCCAGACTTCCAAATTATTAATTTCCCATTAGGATGAAACATACAGGGCAGCAGAAAGTTAAGGACACGCGATAAATGAAGCCAGAGCCTGGACAGGTAGCCCGGCTGACACTATGTCAAGTCCTCAGGCTATGCTACAAAAGGAGGTGCGGAGTACGGTGTTGGAGTTAGGAGGCTGACTGCTTTGTCATTTTTCAGTACCTGGTGTAGGCTCAGCCACAAACCATCAGTGACAGCATTCATTTCAGCACGAGGTGCCAGCCAAGTTATGTTTAGCTACACTTCTAGCAGTGAAGGAGGAAGGCATGCTCCAGAGCTAAAGGACAAAGGCAGCTCAGACCAAAGCAGAGGATCTGTTTGGATCTGTTCACAGTCAGTAAACAGAAAAACAAAGGGGTTTGAGACTGATCATTAAAAGTTACATTAGCAAGCTAAGCTGCTTATCCTGAGGCTGTAGCAACAAACGGACAGATAGTACTTTTACCTTCAGAAATTATTTTGCTTCTTAGAGAACCTCACTGCAGAGATTCTCTATATTTTATATGACAAAGAAAAAAAACATGAGTTGCTTCCCTGGTGAGTTAAATTATTAGACAATGGACAGAAACTAGCGGAGACAAATGCAGATACTAACACCTGCCATGAAAAATGAGCAGCTTGTTAAGAAGGCTGTACTGCAGAAGGGATGCTGGGTTGCCAAAACCAAATGGCAATCAGAGGGAGTGATGATCATTCTGCAAGCAACTTTCCTGCTGGGATCACACTTATATGCCTGTCAAAGTATTTGCATTAACACAGAAACTGGATTTTACTGGGAAATGATTCCATCCCTAGCTCACTGGCAGAGGACAGTCTTTAACAGTACTGGCAGCACTGGCATCACATATGCGGTGCTTCATCTGCATCAGACTCACTTTGCTTCCAAAGAAATTAACTGCTGCGTCAACTTGAATGATCCAAGGACTTAAATCAAATAATAAATTAAAGGGGATCATGGACTACAGAAGATGAGGGAATATATGCTTTGCTAAGCTTTTATCTCTTCCTGGTAGATTAAAAAAAAAATCAGACCAGTTAGCTCTGAGGAAGCTTACTTGATCTCCAGCAGGCTGCTGATCACCAAGGTGTGATGCCCGAGGAGAGGTGTGCAGGATAGGAGGAGAGTCGAACACAGATTTGGAACACACACGGGAGAACATAATCAGAACATGGCAACCGCTCCTCTCCCTCACTCAAGTTGGAAACGAAAGAGAAGTCTTTTGTCAGAGAGGAGGTGACAAATACTGACCAGAACATTCTACACAGAAGGATCACCTGAGCAGTCTCTTTTCTTGGTTAAAACCTTACTTACACACATAACAGTGATAAACCACTTACTTGCCTGCTCCCCCACCATATGAGATACCAGCTGAGTTCATGCCAGCCAGAACGAAGTAGCCCCGCACGGTGGGCGACTCTCCCATGATGCACCGCATATCTGGTGTGAAGGACTCTGGGCAATTCACTAACTGCATGATCTGCAGAGCCTCCAGATCCGGCATCCTGCGCAGAAGGGCACTCAGAAGTGGCTCTAGGACCCAAGACAAACAAAAAAAGACAAAAAGTCACAGCCTTCAGTCTCGACGCATTGCACCTTCAAACTGGACAGCACGACAGAGGCATGCTGTTATCAACAGATGGAAACTGCTTCCGTATTTTGATACGGTCGCAGGATAAACCGTTTACCTGCTGGAATCAAACTACTCGAAATGGATCACACGGTATACCATAAAAGCAGCCATACCGATCCAGACCAAGAGCCCAGTATTGTTTTCAACAGTGCAAGAGCATGTTTGGTTTTGTTAGGGAAAACAACAGGAACAGACACCAAATAGAAACCTAGCGAGGAATAAGAACAGGCAAATCTATATGACGCTTGTCCCACGCGCTCTGCCAGCCTCCACTTACCATCATCAGCTCAGAGGATTTCCTAAAAACCTGGTATGTTTTCCCTATTTAGTAACCCCTAAATCGATCTCTCTTCTAAGTACTTGACCAGTCTTCCCCAAACTCATGAAAACATCCTACAGACGCTGACAAGGAGTTCCACGTATTTAGTATCTGTTGTATGAGGAATCACCTCCTTTTGTTTTGAAATTCTCACTCAATTAACTTTTTTTGATGCCTCCCAGTTGGCATAATAGAAGAGACGGTGAACAGGAGATCCCCATCTATCCTGCCCATCTCATTCAAGATTTCATAGACCTCTGTTTCTTTCCCTTCTGTCATCTCTTTTTCCCAGCCCGCTCAGTCATTCCTCGCTTGGAAACTGTTCCAAGCTTTGATCAGCCTCTTGCTGCTCTTTCACCAGGCCTTCTCCAGTCATACCACACCCTCTGGAGACAGGGAGCCTAGAACAACAACTAGTATCTGGCAAACCAAGGATTTAGTCTTGCATAATGATTGTGTTTTCTGCTCCTTTCCTAATAATTCCTAACTTGTCTTTTGCTGTGACTGCTACTGAGCTGATGTCTTCACAGAACTAATACAACCCCAAGGTCAGTTCAAAGCCCATCATTTTGTACGGTGAAAATAAGACCATCCCTCCATGCACCCCCACACACTTGCGTCACTTCACATTTATCCTCACTGAACTTCTTGCCACTTCATTGCCCAGTCATGCTGGAAAGGTCCTTCGGCAATTCTTCAGTCTGACATTTGAGAGCGTTAATGAAGGGATTAGCTATCTACTTTGTTTTTCTTGTCCAGAAGTTACCTCTGCGTAGTACTCCAGATAAAAGCCCTCAAGATTCAGCACTAATAACACTCCTCCACTTTACACACAAGCAGTAAAATAATCAGATTTCACACTACCTAAGAAGCTACAAACAGAAACAGTCTTTCTGACCTGCTCTTTTTCTTCCCTCTCTCATGCATTAGAATTCCAGAGTGAGAGCCTGTAGTTACAGACTTTTTTTTATTGATAAAAAGAGAGATCAGTGTTAGATTTGTTCTCAAATCCAGCCCAACATTTAAGCAACTGTACAGGCTATTTTAAAATCAAAAGGTGTTCCAACGAAAGAGATCAAAGCAGTAAGGCAAGAGCTCAAACCACAGGAACTGCAGGCCTAGAAAAGGATCAAACATTGGCTGAGTAAGCTCTGACTCCGCTCAGCTGTCCGGTATGTTTGAACTGATAAAAGGGTAATGCTGGAACACAGCATGCAGTTGCTTCCAAAACCTGGGCAATTTGTGGGCACCAACAAGCAGTGCCTTTTCATTTCAGCAGTACGCAGAAAATCAAAAAAGAAGTGGGTGCAGAGCTCGAGCAACTCCTTAGTGAAGCTAATATCTTCAAGCAAGTCTGTAGGCATCTCTAGATCTAAAAACGTTTAACATATGCCAGCACAAAACTGCACCCCACCCTGGCTCCACCCCCTGGAACTTAAAGTTTTATGGTATCAATACGGTATCCCACAGAAATGAAAGTAAAATGAATCAATTTAATCTGGGGAACAGCTGGAAGAACATACTATCACTGCAGAAAGAAATCAGTGAAAATCCATCTGTGCCTAGTCGCACACAGAGGCATGCGCATTCACAAGGGATGCAAAGAGCTCTGACACAAGGGAAAACTGGATCCCTGAAAAAAAGGCAAATTTGAAGACAAGAGGGCACACACAAACTTATCAGGCATAAAAGAGGGGGGAAAAAAAGGGACTCATAAACCATGCTATGTTCCTTCCTACAGAAAGAGCCCTCCACGTAAAAGTACATACAGAATATAAAAATAGAATCAAATAAAACAGGAAGAGAAAGACAGAACATTTGGAATATAATAAACCACCACTGTCAATGGCGGGATGAAGCCTGGGAAGCAACAATATCAAATGCTGTCCACAAAGCAACCGCCACCGAAGGAAATGCACTTGGCAGTCACTGCTGAAGGGAGCTGCAGAAACAAAATACCACGGCTACACGGCACGGCAGGTCAACAGTGTTGATCTACGGCGTCACAAGAGGAGCAGCATGTGGCACTGACAGTCAAAAATCAAATGAAATGGAAGAACAGCGTTGGAAAGTTTATGTAGTACCTCGCTGCACTAGAGGACATTAATATATGCTGAGGGTTAGCCGGTGTTTTTAAACACTACACAGGCACCAATGTAGTCCTTGGTAAAGGGGTTTTACGCAAATTACCGACAAATGAAGGGATGAATGAATTTGAGAGAACGTTCATCTTTCCCACACCTTTCAGGTAAAGGCAGACACATGCTAGCTGGTCAACAACAGCCTGCGTTGTTGCTAACTCTGCCTTCTGCTGAAGCCATGTGTTTCATTGCTGTGGGAATCTTTCCTCCCTAACATACCAAAATGATCCCAGTCTTCTTGAAGGTTCTGAATCTCCAGCTGGTTCCGTCCCTCCGTGAAGAGAGGTTTGGGGTTTTTCTCAAAGCCTCCCGAGAGGATGCCACCTTGCCAGTTGCGTATGTAGATCCTGCCATCTGGGTCTACAATAGCTGCGGAGGAAAGAAAAGAGGTGGGAAGGGAATTGAGAGAAGGGACAGCTATCTCAGGCTGCTGCTCCACAAACACCAACGACAGGGTCTGGTGAGAGGCTGGGCCAAGCTAGCGGCCCCCTGGCATGAGAAGGGATGGTCTCCATCCCCCAGCCCCACACTTTCGCACCATTTTGGTTCTCACGTGACACCTTAGTGAGCCAGTTTAGATTACTAAACCAGCACTAACTCCTGTCACAACCATGCACGTTAACTTTTGGGCAGCACAGTAAACTGAATTGAACCTGAAGAGCACCCAAGCCAGGACAGTGTTACCAGGAGTGGGAGGACACAAGAGGGAGTCAGATCCCTTGTGGCACCGATAAGCTATTATACTGGCTTAGTTCCACTGGAACTGCACCCAAGACCAGACCTTCCACCAAGAGATGTCTTGCCCTCCCCCTCTTTCTCTTCCTATATTAAGAACAGTTAATTTTAATGGGGATGCATCACTGATCCAGTCTGCTGCAGGCCACCAGCACAAAGAAGCTGGGCAGCACTGGGGTGAGGACAAGCAGTCAGGTCTGGATTGCTTCTTACAGTGGTAGTGCCAACTTGAAGCATTTATGATACTCCACCTGACATGTTCCATAGCAATCTTTCCCATGTACAGAACAGCTGTGAATATATATAGATGTAAAACTCAATCAAGTAAAAGTGAAGCACTCGGGGACTCTGGGCAGAGCTGGATTCCCTGGGGAGTATATACATTACTCACTAGAGGCAGAAACTCTCGCTAAAGACTGAGAGTAAATAAGCAAAGCTTTCCACTTCCCAACCACAGTTTTCAAACACAAGGGCTTTTCTTTAAGAGATCCAAAAGCCAGAACATGGGGGAGGAGCAATTACCTCAAGTGCTTTGGTTGCCCCTACAGCTCATAGACATGTAAATGCCATTGTAAAGCCTTAGCTTCAGTTGGAGGAAAGGAATAGATGGGCCATTTGGGGACAGCAGCCTGCAAGGAAAACATAGTGCCAAGGCTAGCACCCTCTCCAGCCCACAAACGCAACAATCCAAGTCTCAGACACACCTACTAGTCAAGCGAGAATCAAGGTCATTCTCCTGCTAAGATGACCGACTCTGAAAATCAATTTCTGCAGCGAAAGCTTTCCCAAAAGTAAGGAAAGAGATTCTACCACTGAAAGAGGATATTCAGAGCAATTCAGCTAGAACGTACTTCACAATCCCAAAGGAGCTGAGAATTGATAGCCCTTAGCTGGCCTTTATGTCATAAACTATGCGTCACCTTGCAAAGGCAGATATAATTCACCAAGAAAAGTGAGGTAGAGCGGAAGAATCCTTACTTGGTAAGTTGCTTGCCAGAGGTTCCTTCAAAGGATGTGTCAGGAGGTAGAAGTGTTCACAGGCATGGAGTGGGATATTGACTGGTTCCTCCCCAGAGTGGCCCAACTCATAGGCCCACTGCAATAAAAAAGTGCATGTTAGAATGCAAAAGAAGAAAACTAACTCTGACAAAAAAAAGGCAGGACAAAAGCAGAGGTCCCCTCTGTGGGTTTCCTTTCATAAAAGGCCAAATAAGATTTGGTTTAGCCCCTAAATCTTAAACAGACACACATTTTTTCTCTTTGCTTAGCATTTGAAGTGTTTAGGACAAAGACACTTTTTCTCTTGCTCACATAGGATCTAGAAAAGTGGGGCCCTGATTCGAGACTAAGAAGTATCAACTTACAATACAAAAGCAAAATAAGATCTGTACGCCAAAGCCAACACTATGCTCAGGCTCTAGAAGCAGAATAGTCAGGATTTAGGTGCCTAGGCTGCCAAGACCCCATACTAACAAGACAGCCAGCTGCAAGCTGAGAAACAGCAATTGTCAGACGTATTTTCAGACTGGAGAAGACATGACACTAAGAAAAACAACAAAAAAAGGAACTTTCAGCGTGTGTGTGAGAGAGGGAGAGAGAAGGATAGAGAGAGACTTAACTGTCTCACTAAGAGCCAAAGCAAAACTCTTCCTGTCAGAAGGGTGCACCCCCCAGGACAGAGACCACGGGCAGAGCTGTACCAACAGCCTGCAGGGTGCCCCTCAGCAGGTTAACATCCAGTCTTTGCTGCCAAGCAAACAGCAAGCGCTGCTTTCTTCCTTCACACCCCTGCTGGTGTAAGAAGCTGAATAACATGACTTTGATCTACTCCAGTAAACCAAGCCGAAGCACAAACCGTAAAAAAGAAAAAAAAAAAAGGAAAACAAAAAAAAAACCCTGAGGAAAAAGCACGTGTTCTTAACCAAAAGAAAAAGGAAAGACAAATTTTGATAATTCAACCTGGCCAGCACAGTTGACGAAGTACTGGCATTGAATCTGTCCTCTGTCGGTCTCGACTCCAGTCACACGACCCTTCTGGACCGAGACATGACTGACACTCGTCCGTTCATGAATCTGGACACCTGAAGAGGACATAAGAAAGCCAGTATACCACAAGCCTTCTTTCTGATGTGTCAGGCTGCTAACATTAAACCCTTAACCGCAACCTAAATGCTTATTTTCTCTTTAAGACAAAATTTCTATTCTTGACCCAGTAATTCTGAAGTGAAACCCTGTTATTTGTAAAACGTCACGCACACAATTTATACGTAATTTAAAGGCTGAGGCCGTGATGAGTTACAGTACTTTTTCCCATGTGAGAATCTGGGTGATAAATATAGCCTACTATCAACAACATGAAAAAAAGCATCTCAGCTACGGATTTCTTTCCATTACAATTCCTTTATGCAACAGTCTGTAGTTTCAGATGGCAAGACTGGTTCTTTTATGGGAAATCAGTCATTTTGTGAAAAAAATCAATTAACAGTATGCAAAAAAAGCCAGACTAAAAGAACCGAAGAGAGGTATCTTCCCAAGAAGCTTCTTCGAATCTGATGGACTTTCATCCTTAATGAGCTTCTGTTATCACATCTAACCTTTCTCCCACTTTTAGACCACTCCGAATTTGCCCAAGTGCTGGGCAAACAGCCTTTATTACTACACTTCCAAACCCATTTCCAAAGCACATGTGCCCAGTGAAATATTCCACAAGGACTCAGCCACACCTTTTCATTTGCAGGCAATTAAAACTCTTTTGATGTGTAATTTTGAGTCAGGTCCTACGAAGGATTGTTTTTATGATAAAAGAGTGTGTGCTTATTCAGAGAAATATATAACGAGTAAGGACAACAAACTGGTGCTTGATCTAGCACAGCAGATCTGTAAAGATTCAGTATGTTAAAAAAAATTCAGCCTGTTTTTTGAGGAAAAAAAAGATTTTAAAGAATCTGAATGTTATAGAAAAAACCAAGTTTTGGTCTTCAGTGCTCAGTTAGAATACTGAAAGAGATGCAGAGCGTAATTTTCTTTTATACTAACTAGTTTTAGATAACTACCATGCAGGAGAGCACTCTATAGATAAAAAAACCTCATACCATTCCGTGAGGCAGCGGTTGCCAGAGCCAGACTCACATTGGCAGATGACACCAGTGCATCTTCTGGCACGTACATGGCCCCCACAAGGTCATGGATGTTGATCAGTGGGTGGAGCTGTGCCACTTGCTTTGGGGTGATAATTTCACAAGGTATCCCCATTACACTGCCACAGAACATAAGAAAAATGCCGTCATCAGTCTTGCAGGAGAGCCGGTGCAAACTTAAGATCAGTTACGTTTCCTCTTATACGTACTTCAGTGATGAAGCAATGCGTTTCAGGGAGATTAGTCGATCCTGAGTCTGAGCCAGTGAAATAGAGCCTGTCTTCACGTACCCTGTGACAATGACCAAAGTCAAGTCAGATTCGGACAGGATCTTGAATTCCTTTCAATCTCAGACCCACTGCTTTAATATAATGGCAGACCCGTTGCTTCCACGACTCAGGACCCTGGAAATCCCAGATCCCCAAATAACTTTACCCACTTATCAGCTAGTAACTAAAAAGTGCATTAGCCAGCTTTTCAAAAAAGCAATTTAATTTTGACTTGTGTTCTAAATCTTTCTACTACGTTTACTCATGTTTATAAAAAAAATTAAACTTCACACATGGTACCTATTAAGAAAGAGAGGTTACTGGCAAAAAGGTGATGTAATAACTACTCAGAAGAATAAAACCTCAACAACTAAATGCATTTTGTGACTCCACCACCTGCAATAGATTAATACTATAACCTTAATTACAGGCACAGTTATTAACCTCTGTTGAGCCTGACATATACCACAAGTCCTTGTCAGCAGAAAACTTTCAGTGACCAAGTTCTTCCTATCAGGTACATGCCTGAGCATTTTGGAGGGAGAGGGAGAATTTCAACACAATGTTTTCTTCTTATTTCCAGGGTGAGACTGGAGTAAGATATCTTGCTTTGCCTATGCTTTAGTGCTTCTGTTAATCTTTTTCTCTTTTTGAGAAGTGAATCGGTGCAGAAAATGGGCCAGCTGCTCTGGTCACTGCAAGATACTTTTTAGCATCCTTGTGAAAATTCACCTACGTTTGCCCAAGTTACAGACAGCATAAAAAAACGATCACAGTTTGCAGGTAGTCTGCCTTCGGTTTGCCCATCCGATACCCTTCTTCCCACTCTTCTGGTTACATTAGTAACATCCCTTTGCATCTGATTCGGTCCACATGTATCGTTTTTGAGCAGGAACCACCAACCCTTAAGACACTGTAAAATTACATTCATGTTTCAGTGTAAATACTTCGACTCCGTTTCCCACAGATTACTCAATGATTACACTTTTAGTACCTGTTTTCACTCCCGTCTCTTGTTCCAGCTGCTGGTAGAGCTTGTTTGAATAGTCTGCCATCTTCAGCTCTACGGACACGTGCCTGGCTGTGCTCACGATGCCAGCACAGAAGCGAGTGGTACCAGCGGCCAATCTGCAGGAGAAGTTGCAGAGAAGGCCTCATGCGGCGGAGAGGCAAGCGCCCCCCGTCAGGCTGCTCCAGCGGCTCTGCTGACAGCACGAACCAGACAGCAACCTCTCCCCCAAACATATCAGACCAAAAGCTCTAAGTTGGACGATGCGGGGATAACGCAACCTCTAGAACGCTTTTCCTTTAGCTCACTTTTGAAAAAGCACCGTATTCCGAAACCACTTCTCTTTAACTAGTCCTAAACACTGAAATTTTTCAAAGAAAGCAATTGAAAAAAAAAATCACCTTAGGCTCAAGTCGACCTGCCTACCTGATTCTTTCTTTCTCCAAAGCAGGATTTCCCTCAAATGAAAATTAACTTGGATCTCAGTCTTGCCTCTTTGCAGTTTACAGTAAGAACAAGTCCCTCTTACTGTGCAGCAACTGCCGTAGATGGGTACACATATTTCTTGTCCCTTTTTATACTGCCCTTAAACCACTGTCCATCTAACTATTTGGCGAAGGGCTGCTGTAGAGCTAGAAACCCACTGAAAACTCCCTGCAGCATAGACAGGTGAAGACAAGACAATCAGATTTAAGCATCTCTCTCGCAACCCTGCTTCAACAATACTTCCAAGTCATCTTTCCTGCTGCGAAAGCAATCCTGCATTTTTCCACTTGCCTATGCAAGCCTTCGACAAGACTGCTTTTGGCCTAGCGCGCCCATGTTCTCTCAGAAATTCAACTGAAGAATCAGTTGAGTAAGGTATTCTTTTTGCTACATCCCTACCCAGTCACAACCGAAACAGCTGACGCACGGTCTCACCACGCTGTGCTCCGCATAAGACGTTTCTGCTAATGCAATGTTGTTCTTTTTCCTTGAGCGCACGCACAGACTGAGCTTGTACAGCGTCTAACTCAATGAAGATCGGTAACGGGGTATTCATACCCCACTCCAGGCTAGTAACGGTTACGTTTCCAGACAAATGAAGCCTAGCAGCTGATTTCACTCGAAAGGACACCGCTCACAAGGTCTCAGATGAGACTACCCGATCTCCTCCCTTTGCAGCTATAAAGAACATGATACTGCCTGCTTCCCAGCCATGCAAAGTCAAGGAGTCACAGCTAATTATTCTTGAAGGCAGCATCGCGTGGGAAGCTCTAAGCTAGACGGTAAATATTCTCAGTCCAGCACTTTATTCAGAGTCTTAGAAGCTGCTGCAATAAACACCTCTTCAAACCCCCAAAGCCCTAGCACTGTCTCATGCCGGAGGTCCCCAAACCGCTTAATGCAAACACCACGAATCCACCTCCGAAATGGAAATCTAAAGAAGAGGTGGGGGCCGCGCAGTCAGCTTTCAACAGGACCTACGTACTCTGCAACAGACTGCAGATCCAACTCACCGAGACTTGTATTCAGCCAAACTGTCGCGGCCTTAGCCTTTTAACAGGCACTAAATCCTGCAACAGACAAAACTAGACAACCCGAGCCTTTAACCAGCTTACAGGGCGATGCTCTAGTGATGTCTGCTTATAACCTCCGCAGCTCCTGCAATCTCTTTTGAGCTTTGCTAGTGGTGTAATACTTCACATACGTACCACATCCTACTTCTAGAGATGGTCAACAGATGATTTACACAGATTTTTAGCTCTCTTAAAATGGCCCATCTTTGCCAGCTGCATTGTCTTTTACACGATTACCTGTGACTACGCCAGAGCAGACGGCTAACTCCCGAAGGAACTGTGGTCCACGGAAAACCCACGCCAGGGCAGAGTTCTCCTGACGGGAACTGCAGCCCGTGGAGGACCCAACACTGGAGCCCGGTACCGATCATACCCCCACCGTTCACCCCCTGCGTTTCTTGGGCGGGGGGTAGAAGACCCCGGAGCGCAGGAGTAAAGTTGAGCATGGGAAAGGAAAGGTGGTGTTTTAACATTTGGGTTTTGTTTCTCACTACCTGAATCTATTTTAACTGGCATGAAATAAAAGTAATTCTTTAATTATGTTAATTAATTCTCCCTAAGGCAGGTCTGTTTTGCCCACGGCAGTAATTGGTAAGCAATCTCCGTGTCTTTATCTTGATCCGCGAGCTTTCTCAGCCTACTTTCTCCCCGCCTCGCTGAGGATGGGAAGCGAGTGGCCGTGTGGGAGTTTGGCCCTTAACCAAGGCTAACCCACCACAATCACACAAGGGATACCCTTCACCTGGCAGGTCTGCCCTGTGCTCGGGAAGAAGTAGTGAGCGTCGTCACTAATGTTCAGCATGAGCTTACTCCGTGGGTCCAAGTCCAGGTGAAGAGGTAGGAATAACACATTAGGGCAGATGCTGCTACGCACGGAAGTCCTGTTTCTTTAGGTTTGTTACCAGAGATCCTTACCTGCCCTGCTCAAGTAAGACTATATCCTTCCAACCCATCTTGGAAAGGTGATACGCCACGGAAGTGCCCATGATTCCACCACCACAGATGACAACCTGCGCCTGTGCTGGCAAGGAAACCGGGTGAGGTTCTGCTGTACTTGAGGTACTTCGCCGGGAGCAGGTCATTCTTCTCCATTTTGGGTTAGCCGCCCGCCACCGGACATCCGACAGCAATCGGAGGAACATCCCGGCAGCTATTTGTCAGTTTTCTTAAAGCACCACCTAGACGTGTTCAGACGTTAATTCAGTGCCACTCCTTCTAGGAAGGAAAAGATGAGAATCGCGTTACCACTTATCTTATTATATACAAGGTTGGCAGCGGCAAACATCACGTGGTGTGTCAGGTATAAGTGGACACGGGCAAGCTGATGAGTAAGACACAGGAGAGCAGTTATTCGGTCCTGAAACAACAGTCTTGCTATTAAGATTTAAACTTAGATCATATAGCGCGTACAGAGTATTACACCAACGCTCTCACACCAACAACAGGTAGATCAGAGAAAGCCAGCAGGCACAGAACGTGCCCTGAAATCTTTCATAAAGGCTGAGGTTAATAGGGCGCAAATAAGCTGGATTAATAATGCCGCCAGGCCTTTACCTGAGGAAGGAAACAAAGCCTGTCAGCAGAGCGACTGGAAGGAGGAACTAGAGACGCACCCTCCGATAACGTTAAGTTTTACCACAAGACGTTACCCAGGACCCCTGACTGCGGCAACACCACGCAGCAGCTCAGGCCGGTGACCGAAGCTGGAATTTAACACCGTGCCCGCGCGAAGCAGGTTTTTGCCGTAGGCTCCTGGTTTCTCTTATCCGCAGCCTGCCACACGCCGCAGATCCGTATCGGGAAGGCGGCAGGGCGCCTGACGGGAAGGGTGTCAGGGCGGGAAGGGGGCCGGCAGCCCCGGAGGCGGGGGAAGCCGCCGCC